CTGCTTCATCCCCAGAATCCCCTGGCACCTGCACCTTCCCTTACCCCTGCACCCTCCTGGTGCCTTCCCCTTCCCTCACTGCCCCTGCCCCCTTTGCCCTCTTTTTCTCTGATACCCACCCCCTCACCACCCTCATGCCCCTGTGTTCTCACACATGACTTGCTCCATCCCTGCCTTCCTCATGCCCAACTCTTCTTTCAAGCCTTCTCCCAGCACCTCGCCCTCTATCCCCCAATGCCCTTACCCTCTCCCCTCCCAGCATCACCCTGTCCCCTCTCCCACTGACACCTCCCCTCCCGCCCTTTTCCTTATTGTCTCCACTTGGCCCCCGGGCATTTGTGTCTCCTCTACCCTGTCCCTTGGTGCCTTCCCCTTTCTTCTCCTGACCTGCCTTCCTCCCCTCAGCACAAGCCCCTTCCTCTCCCAACCCTTCCTCTTATTTTCCCCCTTCCCCTCTTCTCCCCTCCCTTACCTTTGGCTTCTACCTTACAGCTTGCGGTGCTGGAGTCAGAGCTGGCCCTAGCCCAGGGCGTCCCTGGGGCGCCGCGTGGTGTTGCCGGGATGGGTGAGGCCGGGCCGCAAAAATGGCTCGGGCTGGCGTCTGTAGTCGGCCCTCAGCTGCTTCTGGAGCTGGGCCGCGCAGTTTTAAAGTCCCGGGCTGTGATGTCACGCCACACCCAGGTGTCTCCCCTCTCACCTGTTATCAGTGTTTGAGGAAGCCGCGCATGCGCTCCCTCTGCCCCACAGTGCCCTGTAGATGTCCGCGGGGAATGTAAAGTGAGGGGCTGCGGTGCCCCGTCACAAATCCCCCTCTTCCTCCAGCAGCTGTTAGCCAGCTCGAGACATTAAGGTGTGCCTGGGCTCACCCGGCACACCCCGTGCACATGCCTATGATAATAGAGGTATGCCCACTGGGCTACACTCTTAAATCAATGATTCTAATAATTTCTTGGCTGCCTTATTTATTCTCTCTTGGTGTCTTTTTGCTATGGTAGTACCCCAAACTGTACACAGCACAGGGCTTTTTAATAGCCTGTAAGTTCTTTAGGGAGGAACAGAAACTTCCTGTATGTCTATCCAGGGTCCAAATCTTTTTGAATGCTATTGTAACATAAATACAAACCTCTTCCCCTTCCTCCCTGCCTGCTTCCTAAGAACAGCATGCTTACCCTCCTTACCCCTTTCCCCAAATGGGGGGTCCTTTCTCCAACTAAGATATCTCATCTGGTCCAGCTGCACTTTTCCCACTGTATATAGCCATTCTTTCTCCAACTAAGATATCACATCTGGTCCAGCTGCACTTTTCCCACTGTATATAGCCACAACATTTTTGAAACTGGGACAACCCCCAGCACTTTGATAGCTTCCAAGCAATCAAAAGCTTCTACTCTGTATGGTGATGACATTTTTTTAACCCTTGGTATTTCGGTTTTTAATCTTTCCTTTATTAGTCTTACTGCCTAAAAGTGAAGGAGATGGATGATGAGGAATACAGCTGCATTGTGAGTACTGAGTTTCATCCATAATGATTTAAGGTTGTATTTCTGTAGCATTTTGTCCTCTCTCACATGTGACCACAGAAACACATGGCTGTGCGTAGGCACATGTATGTTCCTAGGCTCATACATTCTAATTGTTAACATTTTCAGACCTTGAAGGTCTTTCAGTGCTATGCAGAAAATGTAACTGATCCCTTTGATGAAACACATCCCATCACTAACCTTTGGGACCAGTCATCATCTCAGTTGCATGCTCACTGAATTGTCTTATGTCCTGCTCTTCTAGTAATACTAGTATATGATAAGGATTAATATACGGTGTTCTCCTAATGCAGGGGTGGGGAACCTTTTGTGGGTCGGGGACTGCTGACACACAGAAAAATCAGTCAGGGCACACAAGTGAGATGAAAAAAAAATCTTACTGACCTGACCCCTGACTGAGGAGAAAGACACTCCCCATATTCCCCTCACGTGCCAGAGCCTAGGGAGGCCCAGGCTAGTAGAGTTTGTGTGCTCCAGCCCCACGGTAGGGAGGCAAAGGGGGGATGGGACTAGAGCACTAGCACAGGCTTCCCAAAGCTGGGGGGAGCCCTGAGCCTTCGGGGGGCCGGATGGCTCTCCATCCCTGTCCTAATGGATTCCACTTGAGTATGAAGTTCAGTTTATCATACATCTGGTATTAGATACTTTGTATCCCACACTAATGGAACTTCATACTCATCATACATCCGGTATTAGATACTTTGTATCCCACACTAATGGAAATTTGTTTGTAAGTTGCATTTGTAGTTGTTTCAGGAAAATGGATTTCAGGAGAAGCTCTCCTAGTGACAGTGTACATAAAATATACCGATGAAGTGGGTTTTACCCACGACAGCTCATGATACTATATATTTTTGTTAGTCTCTCAGGTGCCACAGGACTACTTGTTTATAAACTATACATAATTGTATTTGGAAGACTTCTAAAAATCCAGTGTAATCCTCAAACTGGCATAGAAAATAATTCTTAGCATTGAGTAGAGTCTTGTGAATCTTTAAAGTTCAAATCTTAACCCTTACCAACACTTTATAAGGTAAATAAAGATACGCTGGGTATGCCTCTGTTTTCCTAACTATAAAAGGGTGATGCGAATGTCCAAGGTCAGAGACGGAGTCAGTATCAAAGCTGAGATTAGAACTCTGGATTCCTTGGTGCTGAGAGGACCAGACAATGCTGCCTCCTTAGGAACTAGTAAAATTGAATAACCCATCAAGAAATAACTTAAAAAACAACAACATAGTCTGGTAGCAGTTTAAAGACTAAGAAAACACGTAGATGGTATCATGAGCTTTCATGGGCACATAGTTTTTAAAGTGCTACCAGACTAGGGCTACGTCTAGACTTGCATGATTTTCCAGAAATGCTTTTAACGGAAAAGTTTTCCGTTAAAAGCATTTTCGGAAAAGAGCATCTAGAATGGCACAGACGCTTTTCCACAAAAGCGCTTTTTGCGGAAAAGCATCTGTGGCCAATCTAGATGCGTTTTGTGCAAAAAAAGCCCCGATCGCCATTTTTGCGATCGGGGCTTTTTTGCGCAAAACAAATCTGAGCTGACTACACTCTGAGCTGACTACCCTGGCCCTTTTGCGCAAAAGGGATTTTTGCCCGAACGGGAGCAGCATAGTATTTCCGCAAGAAGCACTGATTTCTTACAGTAGGAAGTTAGTGCTTTTGCGGAAATTCAAGCGGCCAGTGTAGACAGCTGGCAAGTTTTTCCGGAAAAGCAGCTGATTTTCTGGAAAAACTGGCCAGTCTAGACACAGCCATTATTTGTTTTTTTAAGTTTATCCTGTACAGAGTAACTCGGCTACTCCCGGAAGCCATCGAGAAATGAGGGTGATATGCACCCTGATAAATGGCAGAGGAAAATCTCCCCCCACCCAGTAGGATGACATTGTTGGGCTTTAACACATGTGAGTGAAAAATACAAGCTAGACCCACAGGCCCAAACGACTGTGTGTATATGGGGGGAGCACTATCTGCGGTGCTCTGTGCTGACAGACACCATCTCTTGCCTCTAAAGCCTGCTGTCAGACAATCAGTTCCATCCTCACTGACTTCCTGTGCCATGACTAGATGGAGGCAACACATCTGGGTAGACTTTCCCTATATAATTCAAAAGTGTTATGTATTAGAAAAGAAATCTTCATGCTTGCTTGTTAGGCAACATGCAAGAGGTGAAGCTTGCAGGAAGGTAGTTGTCACACACAGGCTAGGGATGTAAAACCCCATTAAATTACCGTGTTTTAGCGTATATAACCTGCACTCATGTATAACCTGCAGTTTTTCTTTGCTGTGTTTAAAAAAAAAAACAAACAAACCTTAGATTACCTGCGGACATGTATAAGCCGTGGGTTCTATAGGCTAATTCATGGTAATTGCACATACCAGGATAAACTGCCAGCATCCTGCATTCCACCCATCTTTTGTTAGGTAGCCATCCTGCTGCCAGCGGGGGGAACAGAGAGCGCAGCGCAGGCAAGCTGGCCGGCCTGCGGGAGGGGAGCCACACTCACACCCAGGCCCCACGCAGCTGCAGCCAGGCGCAACCCACCCTCCTCTGGGCGGGGGGAAGAGAGCACAGCGCAGGTGCGCTAGAAGCTCATCAGGCCCTCCCTGCGGCGGAGCAGAGCTGACCCAATTCTAATAGGGCAGCGCTGTTTATGAGTAAAAATAAACTTTTATACCCTGGGGGCAGGGAGGGGCGGTTTGTAAAAATGTGTCTAACCCGTGTGTTAGATACGTCAGTAAAGAAGCTGTGTGTGAAGCCTCTGGCACTGTGGGCTTTCTGGGAGTCTCTACAAGGGTGTGGTGTTCTTGGCAGGCACTGGGCGAGCCCCTTTACAGGGTCAGCACTGGGAACTACGAGTACCGCCTGGTCCTCCGTTGCCGCCAGGAAGCACGCACACGCTTTGCCAGGATGAGGAAGGATGTACTGGAGAAGATTGAACTGCTGGACCAGAAGCATGGTGAGTGTCACTGCCCTCCTTCAAGGGCCCTAAGAGCTTCATCCAGGCAGCTCATTCATTTAGCCCTTTTGGTCCCTAATCTCATCCCCAAAACCCTTGGTGCCGGTATCTTACTGACCTCATGCAGTCTGGTGGTTCCCTTGTCCTCATGGACCCTTCTGTCATGGTGCACGAGGGGCAGCTGTGCTCAGAGCATGAATGTGCTGCATTTGGCTAATCTTTAGGAGAGAGGCTCACTCACAGCCTGAGGGTGGGTGGGTGGGTGAGGGGAGAGTGACCTCTGCTGTGGGTTCTGAAAACTCTGGGTAACGGATTAGTTGCAATTAGCTCGATCACATTCTGAGGTGCACATGCCTCTGAAATCGAGTCGCATTGGGTGTGGACATGGTGGCTGGTCTCTGAACAAGCAAAAGTGCATGTGAGAGGAAGAACACCACCTGCTCTGTCCTCCCCTGATCTATTCCCATCCCTTCCCCTCTGCAGTGCAGGACATAGTATTCCAGCTCCAGCGGATTAGTTGCAATTAGCTCGATCACATTCTGAGGTGCACATGCCTCTGAAATCGAGTCGCATTGGGTGTGGACATGGTGGCTGGTCTCTGAACAAGCAAAAGTGCATGTGAGAGGAAGAACACCACCTGCTCTGTCCTCCCCTGATCTATTCCCATCCCTTCCCCTCTGCAGTGCAGGACATAGTATTCCAGCTCCAGCGCTTTGTCTCCACCATGTCCAAGTACTATGACGACTGCTACGCCGTACTCCGGGACGCAGACGTCTTTCCCATCGAGGTGGATCTAGCACGCACCACCCTGAGCTACGGGCAGAAGGATGTCTTCTCAGATGGGGCAGAGGAGGAGGAGGAAGTAGGAGAGCAGGAGGCCAGGAGGAAGGAGGAGGCAAATGGCGAAAAGCTCATTGATGATGCCTGAATATGATGCCGCGGCGGGCGGGAAAGACGTTAGAGACTGATAAAATCTGTTTCACATGGTGACTCGTCCTCAGTGATTTTCTGTATAGGTACAGCCAGGGATTCCTCCTCTGCTTCAGAGGGGGGCAGTTGGTATGACTTGGGCCCAAAGTCTGCTTTCTTTCCAACCTCCACTTTCTCCTTCCTTCCTCTTTGCTTGGATGGCTTTCCCCAGCGTTCTATTGCCCAGCTCAGAGACTGAGGTATAGAGGGTTACTGTGGGGAACCATGTGAGGAATTCCCTTTCTCGGGCCTCCCCCCATATGATTCCACCTGCAGAGGGGACCCTTCTGAGTGTGAAGGATACATCCCTCCTTTTCTGATGCCTGGGTCAGCTAAAAAAAGCCCCTGAAGAGGGAGGACTATGGACGGCAAGAGCAGCTCCTCCCCATCTGCCCTCGCTGGATGGAAAAATGCTGAAGTCAGCAGGACCTCTCGCTCCACTGCTGATCACCCTGGGACTAGGGGGTTTCACCTCTCTACTCTCCCATTTCATATGTTGTTTACAATTCTGTTGCCCCTGCTGGCTCTAGGTAGGTGTCGGGATGGAAGAGGAATCTGCCCCCTCTCACCTCCTTTGGCTACTGTGTCCTGTGGAAGAGAAAAGGAAACGAGGCAACCTGATGTGTAGAACTAGCGACCTATTTACATCTCATTCACCATCAAGGGCCTGATGAGATCCTTTAAGGAAAGGGCAGCCGGAAGCCCTTTCCATGTGTAGCATCAGCCTCCCCTAAGAAAAAGGGGAACTGACTTTTATCAGAGAGGAACCTTCTTCAACTGTACAGGGGCAAAAGGCCAAAGGGAGGAGGTTTGTGAAATTGACACTGGTTCAGGGACTCTGGTCCACATGTGTCCATGGTCATTTCTTCTCTCGTGTTTTGCTCCTGGTTGACCTTCATCAGATTTGCTCCTTGATGATGTGCAGAGTGAGTACCCCTCCCTGTGTACAGATGCCAAGAGGAGTGATCATTATAAAACCAGGGAGGGGATTCTATAACCTTATAGCAGAGAACATGCTGGACCCAGAGTCTTCTGGGGTGGGGAAAACTGCCTGCAGCTGGAAATATTTTAGGCAGATTATATAAGGAGCATGGACTATTACTCTCACCCCACAGCTCTCCTTGTTGCTACATGACTAGTCAATTTCCCATTTCATGTTGCCTTGGGGTAGAAAGCCCAGCTGGAACTGTCAGCCCCAACACCAGGCAAGGGGAAAGGGAAGAATCAGCAGAAGTAATGGTTCCTCCTGACTCCCCTCCTCTTTCTCTCTTCTCTCAGGCTATATCTATACTGCAGGCTTTTTGCGCAAGAACATGTGTTCTTGCACAAAAACTTGCAGAGCGTCTACACTGCATGCGCGTTCTTGCGCAAGTAAATTTATAGTACAGCGTCGGAAAACAGGGCTTCTTCCGGCAGAGGTATTCCTCTCCCCACCAGGAATAAGCCCTCTTGCGCTAGAGCTCTTCCACAAGAAGGCAGTGTGGATAGGCAACATGAATTTCTTGCGCAAGAAACCCCTATGGCTAAAATGGCCATCAGAGCTTTCTTGCGCCAGAGAGCATCCACACTGCCATGGACGCTCTTGCACAAAAGCACATGGCAGTGTGGACGCTCTCTTGTGGAAGACCTTTTGCACAAGAACTCTTGCACAAAACAGTTCTTGCGCAAGAAGCCTGCAGTGTAGACGTAGCCTCAGAGTTCTGGTTCTATATAGTGGTATCCTGTTTGTGGCAGTAAGCTGGTGGCGAATGAAGGTTCTAACTTCTCCCCACTCCTTAAGGAGGGCATGTAGCAGTGAGAGAGATGATGAAGGGCCTTAATTTATGATTTATGTTTTCTATTTGTTTCTGGAGTCTGCTGTCATCTTCTCCATGGCTGCCCCAAGGCCAGCTGGGGCTAGGCTATGTTTTCTATTTGTTTCTGGCGTCTGCTGTCGTCTTCTCCATGGGTGCCACAAGGCTAGCTGGGGCTAGGCTCCTCTGGATGACTTGAATGGACTTTTAAGACACTAATGGATGCCTCTAATAAAGAAAAACAGAACATTTCTATTTTCCTTTTTCGTGATCTGTAAACTCCACATCTGTCTGTTTTGGATGCAGCGAGGGACATGAAAGGTGTGCCTAAGCTGCATTCCTTTTGTCTTAAAGTGGATAGTAACGCCTGGAATGGAAATATGACAGCCAGCGCTGCAACTTGCTTTGCAAATTAAAGTGTGATGTGCATGCTAGATAAGGCTATTGACATAGGGGTGTCCTAGGTTCCCAGGTGCGCTGTGGTTTGGCTTAGAGGGCAAACACGTCCCTGTAGAATATGATAAATCTGGGCCTGAAGCATTCCTCGAATGGCAGAGATCAGAGGGCATCCTGTGGGAATGCGATGGGCAACCAAGACTAGGGAGTGAGCCACACGAGTCACCTGCCTTTGTCTCAATGGGCTGCATGACCAGTGGTGGGCAACCTGTTGCCCACTGGGGTTCCACCTGCTGCCCATACACCCGCTTGCTGCCGCCTTCCCTCACACCTCTTGTGCACTGGGGCACTGGAGCCCTGCACTTCCTTCCTCTCCCTCCTGGCATGCTGAGTGCCATGAATCTGCTGATTTGCGCTCTGTCCCGCCCTCCCAGTGTTCGAACAGCCACAGCCAGCTGACTTGCAGTGTTCCAGCTCTGGGAGGGCTGGGGAGGAGGAGGGACAGAGCCCAAATCAGCAGCTTCACGGTGCTCCGAAAAGGGACAGAGCACAAATCAGCAGCTTCACGGTGCTCCGAAAGTGCTGGGAAGGAGGGGGAGGAAGTGTGGGGCGCCAGTGCTTGAGAGGTGCATGGAGGAGGGGCAGGTGAAACTCCAGTTATAGTGCAATGTGATGGCACCAACTCTTCTTTTAACAAGCGCTCCTCCCGCTTTGTCCTGCTGAGGGGGGCTGGAGTCCAGATGGTCGCTGTTTGTATAGGAGTTGGACAAGAGCATCCACAATAAGGTATTGGAGGGGGAAAACGTATGTACGAAAATTCTGCGGGAGACGCAGTATGGAGCGCAGGCCAGTCCTAAGCTACAATAGGCTGTGTTCAGTGTAATTTGGAAGGGAGAGCAGCAAAGGTGGTGCTCTAGTAGCCTGATAGCCCCTGGAGTCTCACTGATGGGGGAAACCAGTCTGCTTCTGGAAGTTAGAATAGCCTGAGGGCTGCCATGAGCTGACATGTGTCCATGGTCATTTCTTCTCTCGTGTTTTGCTCCTGGTTGACCTTCATCAGATTTGCTCCTTGATGATGTGCAGAGTGAGTACCCCTCCCTGTGTACAGATGCCAAGAGGAGTGATCATTATAAAACCAGGGAGGGGATTCTATAACCTTATAGCAGAGAACATGCTGGACCCAGAGTCTTCTGGGGTGGGGAAAACTGCCTGCAGCTGGAAATATTTTAGGCAGATTATATAAGGAGCATGGACTATTACTCTCACCCCACAGCTCTCCTTGTTGCTACATGACTAGTCAATTTCCCATTTCATGTTGCCTTGGGGTAGAAAGCCCAGCTGGAACTGTCAGCCCCAACACCAGGCAAGGGGAAAGGGAAGAATCAGCAGAAGTAATGGTTCCTCCTGACTCCCCTCCTCTTTCTCTCTTCTCTCAGGCTATATCTATACTGCAGGCTTTTTGCGCAAGAACATGTGTTCTTGCACAAAAACTTGCAGAGCGTCTACACTGCACGCGTGTTCTTGTGCAAGTAAATTTACAGTACAGCGTCGGAAAACGGCTTCTTCCGGCAGAGTTATTCCTCTCCCCACCAGGAATAAGCCCTCTTGCGCTAGAGCTCTTCCACAAGAAGGCAGTGTGGATAGGCAACATGAATTTCTTGCGCAAGAAACCCCTATGGCTAAAATGGCCATCAGAGCTTTCTTGCGCCAGAGAGCATCCACACTGCCATGGACGCTCTTGCACAAAAGCACATGGCAGTGTGGACGCTCTCTTGTGGAAGACCTTTTGCACAAGAACTCTTGCACAAAACAGTTCTTGCGCAAGAAGCCTGCAGTGTAGACGTAGCCTCAGAGTTCTGGTTCTATATAGTGGTATCCTGTTTGTGGCAGTAAGCTGGTGGCGAATGAAGGTTCTAACTTCTCCCCACTCCTTAAGGAGGGCATGTACCAGTTGCAAGTGAGAGAGGTGATGAAGGGCCTTAATTTATGATTTATATGTTTTCTATTTGTTTCTGGCGTCTGCTGTCGTCTTCTCCATGGGTGCCACAAGGCTAGCTGGGGCTAGGCTCCTCTGGATGACTTGAATGGACTTTTAAGACACTAATGGATGCCTCTAATAAAGAAAAACAGAACATTTCTATTTTCCTTTTTCGTGATCTGTAAACTCCACATCTGTCTGTTTTGGATGCAGCGAGGGACATGAAAGGTGTGCCTAAGCTGCATTCCTTTTGTCTTAAAGTGGATAGTAACGCCTGGAATGGAAATATGACAGCCAGCGCTGCAACTTGCTTTGCAAATTAAAGTGTGATGTGCATGCTAGATAAGGCTATTGACATAGGGGTGTCCTAGGTTCCCAGGTGCGCTGTGGTTTGGCTTAGAGGGCAAACATGTCCCTGTAGAATATGATAAATCTGGGCCTGAAGCATTCCTCGAATGGCAGAGATCAGAGGGCATCCTGGGGGAATGCGATGGGCAACCAAGACTAGGGAGTGAGCCACACGAGTCACCTGCCTTTGTCTCAATGGGCTGCATGAGCAGTGGTGGGCAACCTGTTGCCCACTGGGGTTCCACCTGCTGCCCATACACCCGCTTGCTGCCGCCTTCCCTCACACCTCTTGTGCACTGGGGCACTGGAGCCCTGCACTTCCTTCCTCTCCCTCCTGGCATGCTGAGTGCCATGAATCTGCTGATTTGCGCTCTGTCCCGCCCTCCCAGTGTTCGAACAGCCACAGCCAGCTGACTTGCAGTGTTCCAGCTCTGGGAGGGCTGGGGAGGAGGAGGAGGGACAGAGCACAAATCAGCAGCTTCACGGTGCTCCGAAAGTGCTGGGAAGGAGGGGGAGGAAGTGTGGGGCGCCAGTGCTTGAGAGGTGCATGGAGGAGGGGCAGGTGAAACTCCAGTTATAGTGCAATGTGATGGCACCAACTCTTCTTTTAACAAGCGCTCCTCCCGCTTTGTCCTGCTGAGGGGGGCTGGAGTCCAGATGGTCGCTGTTTGTATAGGAGTTGGACAAGAGCGTCCACAATAAGGTATTGGAGGGGAAAACGTATGTAAGAAAATTCTGCGGGAGAGGCAGTATGGAGCGCAGGCCAGTCCTAAGCTACAATAGGCTGTGTTCAGTGTAATTTGGAAGGGAGAGCAGCAAAGGTGGTGCTCTAGTAGCCTGATAGCCCCTGGAGTCTCACTGATGGGGGAAACCAGTCTGCTTCTGGAAGTTAGAATAGCCTGAGGGCTGCCATGAGCTGATTTGAGCTGCTGATCTGAAGTGCCATGCCCCTTCTTTCTGCAGCTCTTGCAATCCCTGCTGTACAGCCCCCTGGCTTCTGATCCCTTGGTGGTGTAATAGGTCCCTTGAGGTGCTGCTGTGGGGTGTTTGAGGTGAAGTAATTCAGGAAACTGGAAGGAAGGGCTTTGGCTAGGAGTGTCATAGTAGACCCAGTGCTAAAGCTGATTAATTGTGGTTTAGTGCCATGCCCCTTCTTTCTGCAGCTCTTGCAATCCCTGCTGTACAGCCCCCTGGCTTCTGATCCCTTGGTGGTGTAATAGGTCCCTTGAGGTGCTGCTGTGGGGTGTTTGAGGTGAAGTAATTCAGGAAACTGGAAGGAAGGGCTTTGGCTAGGAGTGTCATAGTAGACCCAGTGCTAAAGCTGATTAATTGTGGTTTAAGCATGCGAGGGAAGGTTGTTCTCTTAGAATCCAGAAATCCACCTCTTAAGCCTGATTTACTACTTGCTCAAACACTCTCATTCATTGCGCCTGCTGCTTGTTCGTCTGCCTAAACATTGATTCCTTTACATAAGGGGTTTTCTTTTAGTTAAAAAAAACACACACACATCCCAAACCCTTTTGTAGCATGGCTGCCGCTTGGCTTATCCCTCAAGACAGGACATGTTTTTACTTGGGCCCTGAAAAGAAACTCTCCCTGCTCAGCCTTGCTCCCCTTTGCATGTCATCTGCTCTCTCCTTGCAGCTTCAGCCTGTGGGGAAAGGGACCCAGTAGTATTCCTGCCTGTAAGACTCAGTGTGAGGGTAGCTGTTACCTAATGGCATTTACTTTGGTCCTTACAGCGATGCTGGAACCACTTTTAGGTTGGGGGTGCTGAGCTGTGATTCCCCCCCAATCCCTGTCCACACCCACAAGCTTGGGCTATTGCTGAGGGCAACTGCAAAGCAAGAGAGGAGCCCAAGGGCCAGCCACTGGGACCCCAAGTGGCAGCAGGGCTTATGGCTGAAACCCTGAACAAGGGGCTGACTGCTAGGACCCTGAGACTAGCAGCAAATCCCTTGAGCAAGGGGCCAGCAGCAGAGCCCCTGGGTGAGGGGCCGGGACCCTAGGTAGCAGCAGGGCCCTGTGGCATGGAGCCAGTGGTGGAGATACCAGCTGCAAAACTTGGAATGCTGCATCACTCCCCTTCCCCCTCCACCCACGAACCCACCCACACCCTCATTTCCCATGCCTATGTTTCCTTGCCTTGTGCCTTTAACTGGAGCTTTTCTTCCTGGTCCCCCCTCCTTGCCCATGAAGCATGACAACCCAGTTGCTTTTGGTATCAGATAATTTGGAGCTGGGGTCAAACCAAAGTCCTGCTGCATCACTGCTAGGCATGGCCTTCCCCTTCTTGGACAATACATTCTCTGAGCAAGGGCTATGGCAGGAGGCAAGGTCAGAGAGATTATTCACCAGAAGCATGGCCATCGCTGCAGCTACTCTCTGGCTATGTCCCTACCCCCTGAGAGCCTAATCACCCTGTATCCTTTTAGTACAGGCAAGTTCATAGTGGCCTCGTCTACCCTTCTGTGCTCTATGAAGCTGGGTCTGTCCAGCTAGCAGAGGCAGATTAGGAGAGGCATTGATGGCTGAGTGCTTGGTAGCAGATGTGGTCATGAAGCGCCCCTAATTCTGTTTTAGTGTGTCAGGGCCAAAGGAAAATGAACATATGTTGGCTGCCTCTGCTGCCTTTTTCCCCCAGACACAGTTTGTAGAGGAGGATGGTTTTCAGTCCCTTTGTGCCTGGGCTGAACACATCAGTGTATTTGCAGTATACCAGTACAAAGACACATACATGCCTATATATACAAATTCTGCTAGTCTTGGAATCTGGCGCTTGTTCCTTGCAGCTCTTCCCACACAACTTCTTCCCCTGTACAGTCGTCCCCTCCGACCCATATTCCCTCCCCCATAGACTTGTCTCCAGCCCAGGCCAGACACACAGTCTAGCATTGTCTCTTCCTCCTGGCTTTTTGCTTGCTAAAAACTCTCTCTCTCCACTGTCTGGCCAGAGTCGCCTTCCCCTGGGGCTGGCATTGCCCCCTCACCCGCAGGCTGCTCGACCCCATCGGCACTACGATCCTCTGCTACATGGTTCGCCGCATCGCTGTCGATGATGACAGCAGTACTGGTGCTGTGGGACAGGTGGTGGTTGTCACCGGCGTGATCTTCCACTTCCTGCACATCTGACTCTGCCTCTTCGGTGTCACTGCCACCCCCGGCCGAAGGGGTCTTTTCTGGCTGGGGTGGTTTTTTCCCCTGATTCAGGCAGCAGAAGGTGGCCATGCCCAGGAAGAGGGAAGAGACAACAACCTCTGAACCAGCCATGTAGAAGATGACGGCGTAGTTCTTGAATGCATCCACCAAGCGTCCTGATAGTCAAAGGAGAAATCATTAGGGTTAGTCGCCGACTCTTTTCCAGTGATATGGAAGTAGTGGAGATCAGTCCCTCAATGAGCTCTCTTCAGCTGGGGGATAATTTCCTAAGGAAAAAGACTGAAGCCTTATTCACTGGGATATTCAGCATTATACTTGACAAAGCCCTGACCCATCTACATGAGAAAGCCAGTCTGTGTTGGCTGAGAAAAGCAGCGGGGATGTGATCCAAGAGGCGAGTCTGTGGCACTGCTTGTAGCTATGAATTTCCCTTTGTTCTGTACGGGTTAAGTCACCGGGCCATGGTGCAAATGTGATCCGACACCGCGCTCCAGTCCCACTTCTCAACACCATGGTATGACGACTCAGATGAAGCAATGGGGCTTGCATGCAATGCTGCCTGAAAACCACCATTAGGAGCTTTTTGAACTGCCCCAGGGGATAGGACTCATAGGAGAACTCTGTGAAAGTCAGGATTGTCCAGTGCGTGTGGTGGGACCCTATAGCTGATGACAGGCTGAGACAACAGGGAATACTGGGGACAAATCTTATCCTGCAGCAAGCCCTGTCACGACAGGCTGAGCCAAGAGTAGGGAATACCGGGGACAAATCTTATCCTGCAGCAAGCCCTGTCATCCCCTCCACCCTGCAGACTAAGCAGGTTATGCCTAAGTAGGGTTATGCCAAGCAAAGGGACACAGTTAAACCCCTTATTTCTTCCCACTCGGGCCTGGCCAAAGAGTTTGTGGCATGTTGTGGTTGGCTGCACCGCAAGTCTGGGTGGTTCCCAGCCAGGGCAGCGAGCGAGCAGCCAGGTGGGCGGGCGCGGGGCGCTAAACACGCGGGGCCCAAGGCAACCGCCTTGCTCACCTTGCCCTAAGGCCAGGCCTGCACTCAGTTTCTGCTCCCTTGAGTCAGACCCACGGCATTTACCAACAGATTCAAGTTTCCCCCAACATCAGGCCCCTACAGCTGTCAGGCACCATGTTCTGCGTGGCGTAGGCTGAACACACAAGCTTAGTCACAGTTCTATACAGCCAAAGTTATTGTGACAGCTACTCCCTGGTTGTCCTGTGTTACAAATAAACCACTCTCACTGTACAATGATGGTCCCAGCTCCTTTGCTGCAGCACACTCATTCCCTTTCCACCATGACGTATTGACTTGCCCAAATAATCTCGATCCTCTTTGAATCC